CCGTTATCCAGACACGGCTGGCACAGGGGCCGTGCGCCTGTGTGTTTCTGGACGAAGCCCAGTTTCTGTCGCATGATCAGGTCTGGCAACTGGCCCGTGCGGTGGATGATCTGGATGTCCCCGTCATGTGCTATGGCCTGCGGGTAGATTTCCGTGGCGCGCTGTTTCCCGGATCGGCCGCGCTCTTGGCCCTGGCCGATGAAATGCGCGAAGTTCGCACAATCTGCCATTGCGGGCGCAAGGCAACCATGGTCGTTCGTCTTGGCCCTGACGGGAGCGCCATGCACGATGGTGAGCAGGTGCAGATCGGCGGCAATGAAACCTATGTCTCGCTTTGCCGCCGCCATTGGCGTGAAAAGATGGGGTATTAGACCGCGTTCGGGGGCACCCGCCCATCCCGAAACGCCATCAGGTTTTCTACCGCCATCATACCCATCGCGTCGCGCACCTCCAACGCCGCCGTGCCCAGATGCGGCAACAAGGTGACGTTATCCATCGCGCGCAATGCCTCGGGGACGTAGGGTTCCTTTTCGAACACGTCCAGTCCCGCCCCCGCAATGCGGCCCTGTTGCAACGTGGCAATCAAGGCGGCCTCGTCCACGATGTCGCCACGTGCAATATTGATGAAATGCGCATGCGGCTGCATCAGGGCGAACTGTTCCGCACCAATCAGGTGATGCGTCTGCGGCGTCGCCGGTACGGCAACCACCACGAAATCCGCCGTCCCCAACAGCGTTTCAAAATCCACCTGACGGGCAGGGAAATCCACTGGCTTGGCAGAGCGGTTTTTTCAGCCGACATTCACCGAACCCGAAATGGGCACCGGCGATCAATTGCCTCGCGATACGGCCCATGCCGATGTGGCCACGGTTTTCCCGCTGACGTGCTGACCAAGAATTGGGGTGGGTCCAGCTGCCGTCCCATTGCCCGAGCGGACGAACCGCTCGCCGCACCGGCGCGGCGGGCGCTCATCAGGAATAAGTCATGCGATGTCGGCGGTGGCATCCGTGGACCGCGGCCGGGTGTGTTGGTGACCACAATCCCGCGCGCCTTGGCGGCGGCAACGTCGATGTGGTTATACCCCACCCCGAAATTCGCCACGATCCGCGTCCGCGCATCCCCCGACAACGCCTTGGCCGTAACCTTATCCCCCAAGGTGACCAACAGCGCATCATAGGTGGATAGGGCCTGTTGCACCTCTTCCTCGGTCATGGGGTTAGCGCCATTGCGAAAGGTCGCCTGAAACTCGGCGGCCACGCGGGCCTCGACTGCGGGCGTCAACTGACGTGAGACAAGCAGTTTCAAAACAATTGCCCTCCGGTGGGAACTTCGTCACGCGGGGCGATCAAAACCACATTGCCCTGATCATCGGGCACGCCCAAGGTCAGGACTTCGGACATGAACGGCCCGATCTGGCGTGGCGGGAAATTGACAACCGCCAGAATCTGCATGCCAAGCAACTGTTCCGGCGTATAAAGCGCGGTAATCTGCGCGGACGAGCGTTTGACCCCGATATCCACCCCGAAATCAATCGTCAGCTTGTACGCCGGTTTGCGCGCTTCGGGAAAGGGATCCACCTTTACGATGCGACCGACCCGAATATCCACCTTGGCAAAATCGTCATAGGTAATCACTTGCCCAGCTCCCGTCCCCGTTGTGCGGCGGCATGAACCGCCTGTTTCAATAATTGCGGAAAACCTGCATCGGGCTGCATCAGCACCTGCAACGCGGCCGCCGTTGTGCCGCCGGGGGATGTGACGTTGATGCGCAACTGTGCCGGATCTTCGCCCGACTGCACCGCAAGCGCCCCCGCCCCCGCAACCGTTGCCCGTGCAAGTGTCAGCGCCAGATCACGCGACAGGCCCTCGGCCTCGCCCGCAGCGGCCAGCGTTTCGATCAAATGGAAAACATAGGCGGGACCAGAGCCGGACACCGCCGTGACGGCATCCATCTGATCCTCGGCATCCAGGCGCACAACCTGCCCCACGGCCTGCAACAACCCCTCGGCGGTGCGCAGATCGGTTTCCGTGGCGCTGGCGTTGCCGATGATCGGGGTGATCCCCTGTCCGATGGCGGCGGGCGTATTCGGCATGGCGCGCACGACGGGCGTTCCCGCCCCCAAGGCCGCCTCGTAGGCCGCGATGCGGATACCCGCAGCCACGGAAATGAACAGCGTGTTCCCCCCACCAAGCGATGCAAGCCGGGGCAACGCCTCGGTCATTTTTTGGGGTTTAACGGCCAAAACGGCAACGGCCGCATCCGTGACGGGGCCACCAACACGCACCCCCAGATCGGCCAGTGCCTGCGTGGGGCGCGGGGTGATCACCTGCACCGCCTGTGGGTTCAGGCCCTGCCGCAGCCATCCGGCCAGCAGCGCCCCCCCCATTTTCCCGCAGCCCAGCAATACCAGCCCACGGGCCTCGATCGTCGTGAAATCCATATCTTCCCCCGTTTTGGGAAAGATTAGGCGCGACCGTAAGCCTCTGCAATGGCAACCTTCATGGCCTTTTCGGGCGGCTCCTCGCCCCAGCAGACCAACTGCATCGCCGGATAGAACCGTTCCGATGCCATAACCGCTGCGCCAATCATGCGGTCAACCTGTTCGGTGACCGCACATTGCCCACCGGCCAACACCAGACCGTGACGCCAAACCATCATCTTCTGGTCTTGCCAAAATGAAAATGCCCCCAACCAGCATTGGTCGTTGATGCGGTTCAGCAGGTCATACAGTCCCGGACGCGACGCGGCGGGCGGATCCAGTTCAAACGTCGAAAGCAACCGCAGCGTTTCGTCCTGTTCGTTCCAAGCCAGCGTGATGGAATAGGTACGCCACTGACCTTCGACCATCATGGCGATCTGGTCGTCCGCCACACGGTCAAAGTCCCACGCATGGGCCTGTGCAAGATCCTCGACAACATCAATGGGATGCAGTTCGCCGACCTCGATATAGTCTTCCGTTATCGCCATACGGATGCTCCTGCCCTGTCATCGCCCCGCAGGCAAAAGCCCACGGCACACTGGTGTCACACAACTAGCGGCGTTTGGATGCCACACTAATACTATATATCGTGGGCGCACCCCGCCTTTGTGTAAAGCAGTTAGTCGGGGATAAGTCAGGGGGTAGATGCGTTATACGGGGATAACCCGGGGGGTGATTGGCGGAAAACATCCCTGAACTTTTCTACCCCGACTGTGCCGCAAAAAAGTGGCCCCGCGTGCCCCCGAAATCGGCCACGATTCGTCATGGTGCCGGTATTGCGCCATCCCTCGTCTTCAAAAACCGCCAAGAAAATAGGCTCTCGGGACACAGGGGATTGTCGTAAAAAGATTTTATTTCGCCGCAAATGGACGCGCGCCACCCTGAGGCGTGGGCACAAACCCTGCGTGCCACGCCAAGTTGAAGAACTAGGTTGAAATGCGCGTAATCCGCCGTCTACCCTTTTCCTAACGGGAATAACCAATCATAAAATTCAGGGAGCCCGCGAAGTGACAATGCCCCAAACCGGCGAGCCATTCGTCGTATTCGATCACGTCCAGAAAAGTTATGATGGCGAAAATCTGGTCGTAAAGGACCTGAACCTCTCCATCGGTAAGGGCGAGTTTTTGACAATGCTTGGCCCGTCAGGGTCGGGTAAAACGACCTGCCTGATGATGCTGGCGGGGTTTGAAACGGCCACGCGCGGGCAGATTCTGCTGAACACCGTGAACATCAACGAAATGCCGCCCCACAAACGCGGGATCGGCATGGTGTTCCAAAACTATGCCCTGTTCCCGCATATGACGGTGGCGGAAAACCTGTCCTTCCCGCTGGAAGTCCGTGGCATGGCCAAATCCGAGCGCGAAGTGAAGGTGAAAAAGGCGCTGGATATGGTGCAGATGGCGCCTTTGCCAATCGGCGCCCGGGCCAGATGTCGGTGTGGCGGCCAGTGTCAGCGGATCGCGCTGGCGCGGGCGCTGGTGTTTGATCCCGAACTGGTATTGATGGACGAACCCGCTTGGCGCGCTGGACAAACAACTGCGCGAACATATGCAGTTTGAAATCAAGGCGCTGCATGATCGTTTGGGCATTACCGTGGTCTACGTCACACATGATCAGGGCGAGGCGCTAACAATGTCGGACCGTGTGGCCGTATTCAACGACGGGCGCATTCAGCAACTGGCCCCACCGGACGAGCTGTATGAACGGCCCAAAAACAGTTTCGTGGCCCAGTTCATCGGGGAAAACAATAAACTGTCCGGCACGGTGGAAACACTAACGGATACGACCTGCACGGTGCACCTGAAAACCGGGGAACTGATCACCGCGACCCCCGTGAACATCCGCCATCCGGGTCAGGAGACACTGGTTTCCATCCGGCCGGAGCGTGTCGAATTCAAACCCGACATGATACCGGGTGACGCCCTGTTGGTGGACGCCGAGGTTTTGGAGTTCGTCTATATGGGGGACATTTACCGAACCCGCATGCGCGTCGCGGGCAGTGATGATTTCGTCATGAAGTGCCGCAACACACAAGGACAAGCCCGGCTTGAACCGGGCACCAAATTGAAAGTGGGCTGGCATCCTGCCGATGCGCGGGCGCTGGACCCTCTTGAATAATAAATCAACACAGGGAGCTTACATAATGAACAAACTGCTTTTGACCACCGCGCTGTGCTGTGGTTTGGCCGCAACGGCGCAGGCCGATGTCACGGTGATGGGATGGGGTGGCTCCTATGGCAAGGCCCAGACCGAAGCCCACGTAAAGCCCTTTGCCGCCGCCACCGGCATCAAAACCACCATGACGGATTCCGATAACCCCGCCACGCCGATCAAGGCGCAGGTCGAGGCGAACAACGTCTCCGTCAACGTGGTATCGTTGGAATACGCCGATGCGGTTCGCCTGTGCGACGAAGGCCTGCTGGAGGTGATTGACCCCGCCAAGCTGGCCCCCGCCCCCGATGGCAGCCCCGCCGCCGAGGACTTTCTGGAAGGTGCCGTCACCGAATGCGGCGTTTCGACCGACATCTGGGCCAATATCTACGCCTATGATGATACCAAGTTCCCCGGTGCCAAACCCACCACGATTGCCGATTTCTTCGACACCGCGAAATTCCCGGGCAAACGCGGGATGAAGAAATCCCCGAAGGCGGTTCTGGAAATCGCGCTGATGGCGGATGGTGTGCCTGCGGATAAGGTTTATGAAACCCTTGGCACGCCCGAAGGTCTGGACCGTGCGTTCAAAAAGCTGGACACCATCAAGAAGGACATCATCTGGTGGGAAGCCGGTGCCCAGGCACCGCAACTGTTGGCCGATGGCGAAGTGGCCATGACCACGGCCTATAACGGGCGCATTTTCAACGCCGCCATCGACGAAAACAAACCGTTCAAGATCGTCTGGGATGGTCAGGTTTACGAAAACGAAATGTACGTCATTCCGAAGGGTGCCCCCGATATGGAAGACGCGATGAAGTTCTTGGTCTTCGCAACCTCGACAGAAGGGCTGCGCAATCAGGCCCAGTGGATTTCCTATGGTCCGGCACGCAAATCGGCGTTGAAGGAAGATCTGGTCTACCACGACGGCAAAACGCAGATGTTGCCGAACCTGCCGACCTATCCGGCCAACATGGAAAATGCCTTGGAAACCTCGTTGGATTTCTGGGTTGACCACACGGCAGAGCTGAATGACCGCTTCAATGCGTGGCTGACCGCCAGCTAAGCGTCGTTTCACCACGGCAAATACCTCGGGTGCCATCGGTGCCCGAGCACGGTGGCGTGTACCGCGCCGCTGCCGTCAACGTATTGGAACCGGACATGTCGGACACCACATCACTTACCACATCGGACGGCAGGCCATTGAAGGCGGCGCTTGCGGCCTCGCTGGCAACGCGGCGGCGCAGGGCATTACTGCTGGTTGCGCCGCTGTTTCTGTTTGTATTCGTGACATTCATCATCCCCATCGGGCAAATGCTGTTTCAGGCCGTGCACGACGACGGCTTCAGCAGCACCGCCCCCGCCCTAAGCGCGTGGTTCGATGAAAACCCCCAAGGCAGCGATCTGGACGAAACCGCCTATGCGGCACTGGCATCAGACCTGAAGACCATGAAGGAGCAGCGCTCTGCGGGTATCGCGGGGACGCGCATCAACTATGACGTGGCGGGAACACGGTCGTTGTTCACCTCGGCGGCGCGTCAGGCGGACAAGCTGCAACCGCCCTATAAAGAGGCCCTTGTGGCGCAGGACGCCAAGTGGGCGGACCCGAATGTGTGGCGCGCCATGCGGTCGGCATCTTCGCCTTACACGGCCAACTTTTTCCTGAACGCAGTGGATATGACGCGCGATGCGGATGGCAACATCACATCCGTCCCGCCCGAGCAGGCGATTTACAAAAAGCTGTTCTGGCGCACCATCGTCATGTCGGCCGAGATTACCATCCTGTGCCTTCTGCTGGGCTTTCCCATTGCCTACCTGCTGGCGAATATCCCCATGCGCCACGCCATGCTGTTGATGATCCTGGTTCTGCTGCCGTTCTGGACATCGCTTTTGGTGCGCACGACATCGTGGATGGTGCTGTTGCAGCAACAAGGTGTCATCAACGACCTTCTGGTGTGGTTGGGCATCCTAGGCAACGATGGACGCCTGTCGATGATGTATAACGAAACCGGCACAGTGATTGCGATGACGCATATCCTGCTGCCCTTCACCATATTGCCGCTTTATTCGGTGATGAAAACCATCCCGCCCAGCTATGTCCGCGCGGCCCGTTCGCTTGGGGCGACGTCATGGACGGCATTCCGGCGGATTTATCTGCCCCAGACGCTACCGGGGTTGGGGGCGGGTGGATTGTTGGTCTTCATTCTGGCGGTTGGCTATTACATCACGCCCGCATTGGTGGGTGGCGCCGATGGACAGATGATTTCCAACATGATCGCCTTCCATATGCAAAAGTCGCTGAACTGGTCCATGGCGGCGGCACTGTCGGCCATTCTGCTGGTGATCGTTCTGCTCTTCTTCTGGATCTACGACCGCCTGATTGGCATCGACAAGATGAAGCTCGGCTGAGGAGGAACCCATGGCCCTACCCGTTTACGCAAGCCCCCTCGAACGCACATGGCATTACACCTATCTTGCCATCTGCGCGCTGATCTTCCTGTTCCTGATTGCCCCGATCCTGATCGTCATCCCCCTCAGCTTCAATTCGCAGCCCTATTTCACCTTCTCGCGCGAGATGCTGAGCCTTGATCCCGACGGGTACAGCATGCGCTGGTACGACGGGCTGATCACCTTTGGGATGCAGGCCCCCGATGCGCCCCGCAACCTTGGTTTCTGGCTGGATTTCTGGCACAATTCCACGTGGATGCAGGTGACGAAAAACTCGATCATCATCGGCATCTGTGCCACCATTCTGGCAACGGTTCTGGGCACAATCGCAGCACTGGGGCTGACGCGGCCGGAAATGCCCTATCGCAAGCAGATCATGGCGGTGCTGATTTCGCCCATGATCGTGCCGATCATCATCTCCGCCACAGGGATGTTCTTCTTCTACTCGTGGGTGCGCCTGCCGATGATCAGCCTTGAAGGCGGCCTGCATGTCAGTTGGGAGCGACTGGCGGGATCGTATCTGGGCATCATCATGGCGCATGCCGCCCTTGGCATTCCGTTCGTCATCATCACCGTTACGGCCACGCTATCGGGGTTTGACCAATCTCTGGTGCGGGCGGCGGCCAGCCTTGGGGCCAATCCGCGCACGGCGTTTTTCCGGGTGGTGATGCCGCTGATCATGCCGGGGGTCATCTCGGGCGCGCTATTCGCGTTTGTGACGTCGTTTGACGAGGTGGTGGCCGTGCTATTCATCGCCGGACATGACCAACAAACCATCCCGCGCCAGATGTGGAACGGTATCCGCGAACAGATCAGCCCAGCCATTCTGGCCGTGGCCACCATTCTTGTGGCGCTGTCGATCCTGTTGCTAACGGTGGTAGAGCTGTTGCGTCGCAGGTCCGAACGACTACGCGGCCTGTCCCCCAACTGAATAAAAACCCCCGGATTTCGGTCCGGGGGTTTTTCTTAGATCGCGATGTCGGGGGCCTGTTTCATCGGCTCCGACCGGGGCCAAAAACCTCGCCCGAGGTTTCTACACCTGCGGCGGGGGCAATGCCAGTTCCAGCACCTTTGCCGTGCGGTCCCATTCCCGTTGCAACTCTTCAGGATGATCGTTCAGTTTCAAGCCATAGCTTGGCACGATCTGGCGCAGCGTTGCCTGCCATTCGGGCGTTGCAACCTTGTCTTTGAATGCCTTGGCCAACAGCTCCAGCATGATCGGGGCCGCCGTGGATGCACCGGGCGATGCCCCAAGAAGCGCCGCAACAGACCCGTCAGCCGAACTGACGATTTCCGTCCCCAGCTTCAGCACGCCGCCATTGTCAGCGTCACGTTTAATCACCTGAACGCGCTGACCGGCCTGAACCAGCTTCCAATCTTCGTCGCGCGCATTCGGATAGAATGTCCGCAACTGTTTCATCTTGTCCTTTTGCGACAACACAACCTGACCCGCCAGATAGGTGACCAGATCAAAGTTGTGCATCCCGACCTTCAGCATTGGCCAAAGGTTCTTGGACGTGACCGTAGCAGGAAGGTCGAAGAACGACCCCTGTTTCAGGAACTTGGTCGAGAATGTGGCAAACGGCCCGAACAGGACGACATGCTTGCCCCCGTCCAGAACGCGCGCATCCAGATGCGGCACGGACATCGGCGGTGCGCCCACATCGGCCTTGCCGTAAACCTTGGCCAGATGGCGGCCCGCAACCTGCGGCTCTTCACTGACAAGGAAAGATCCGCCAACGGGGAAGCCAGCGTAATCATCGGCCTCGGGGATGCCCGTCGCCTGCAACAACGGCAACGATCCACCACCTGCGCCAATGAACAGGAACCGTGCCTCTACCGTGTGGGTGGTGTTGCCGTGCATATCATGGCAGGTCACCTTCCACCCTTCACTAGTGCGGCTGATGTGGCGTACCTCGCATCCCGTGCGCAGGGTGAATTGCGGCAAATCGGCCAGATAGCCAATGTACTGACGCGTAATTTCACCAAAGTTCACGTCCGTACCGGCGGCGGACCACGTGGCCGCAAACGGTTTGTCCGCCGGCTGGCCTTCCATCGTCAAACGGAGCCCATTCGGCAATCTTGCTATGATCGGTCGAAAACTCCATGCCCGAAAACAACGGGCTGGTACGCAGCGCGTCAAAGCGTTTGCGCAGATAGGCAACGCTTTCGTCGCCCCACACAAGGCTCATATGCGGGGTAGAGTTGATGAACGCGCGCGGATTTTTCAACACGCCCTGTTCGACCTGATAGGCCCAAAACTGCCGCGAAACCTGAAACTGTTCGTTGATGGAAATCGCCTTATCAACGTGAACAACACCCGCATCATCCATGGGGGCATAGTTCAGTTCGCACAGGGCGGAATGCCCCGTACCGGCGTTGTTCCAACAGTTAGAGCTTTCGTCCGCAACCGTGTCGAGACGTTCGATCATTTCGAACGTCCAGCTGGGTTCCAGCTGATGCAGCAAAACCCCAAGGGTTGCGCTCATCATGCCGGCACCGATCAGCACGACATCGACCTTGGTGACCCCGGGAGTAAGTTTAGTGTCGTTCCTGCCTCGACGAGATCCTTGGCTTTGGCGGGGATTGATGACACACGGGGTGCAAAACTGCCCCCTGACATTGCCTCCCCCTGTGGTTTCTATAGTCGGCGTGACATGGTGTCACAAGCCGAAATATTTTCGCGCGCAACAGGATGACCCGACGTTTTGCGCCCCACATGTACTGATTTTAGGTCATATTTCCTGCCCTGATCTGTTTCCGAAGATGCAGTATTTCCGAACAAAACCGCCCTTCTATACATGTCCACCAAATCCGCCGCGAAATAAAGTTACAAGCCATGCGTCGGGTGAAAGCCTGCCTGCCATCATGCGCAATGCTACTTTGGGGGCGCTTTGGAGAAGAATGACACTTATCCAAACGCTTCCCCTTGCCGCGCGTCGAAAAACAGGGGCAAAGTGTCGCAATCTGTTGACCCGGAGAGCCCCTTTGTCCCGCGCCGCATTGCTCAGCCCGTTCCGCATCGCAACTTTCCGCTCTTTATGGACGGCAACGCTGATGTCGAACCTTGGGGGACTGGTTCAGGCGGTGGGTGCGGGCTGGATGATGGCGTCGCTGACGTCATCGCACGGGATGGTGGCGTTGGTCCAATCCTCCAACACCTTGCCCATCATGGTTTTTTCATTGGTGGCGGGGGCGCTGGCCGATAACTTCAACCGCCGCCGCATCATGATTTTCGCACAATGTTTCATGGCTACGGTGTCCATCGGGCTGTCGGTTTGCGCGTATCTGGGCCTGCTGACGCCGTGGCTGTTGCTGGTCTTCACGTTCCTGATCGGATGCGGTACGGCCCTGTTCAACCCGTCGTGGCAGGCGTCCATGGGCGATATTGTCCCGCGTGAAGACCTGCCCAATGCGGTCAACCTGAACAGCATGAGCTTTAACATGATGCGCAGCCTTGGCCCGGCGATCGGCGGTGCCATCGTGGCCGCAGCGGGGGCGGCTGTCGCATTTTTGGTCAACGCGCTTTAGCTATTTGCACTGATGGGCGCTTGTTCCGGTGTCGCCCGACTATCCAAAAGACACTATTCCCGCCCGAATCACTTGCGGCTTGGGGCGGGGTTAGCGTTACGTTTTTGATGGTCGCTCCTGGCCCTGTTGCGCGTCTATGGGGCGCAAGGGCATTTTCGGTTTTGCGCAACGGCGGTTTCTGTGGAACTTTTGCCGCTGGTCGCTTGAAGACGTGAATGTCGCTGCAAGGACAGGCCCATAGAATACGGGGATTCACGCTGGGTGCGTTCGGACAGTTGGCGCCGTTGGGCGAGGGCGGCCCTGAACAGCATCATCCGTGCGCACCTGAGCAATGAATGGGTGGTCCGGCTGGCATTTTTGGTTTTTGCGCTGGCCATGGCGGCCTTGGCTTGGACCACATCCATCATTCTGGCAATGCTGGCGCTGTTCGTGGCGGGGGCGTGCTGGGTGATGGCGCTGTCACTGTTCAACGTCACGGTTCAGTTGGCCACACCGCGGTGGGTTGTGGGGCGTGCCTTGTCCTTTTATCAGACCGCCACATTCGGCGGCATGGCGATTGGGGCATGGTGTTGGGGTATTCTGGCCGACTATTATACGGTTTCCATCGCCATGTCGTGCGCCGCAGTCATGTTGTGCGGGTCCATGGTATCTGGCTGACAATCACAGATTTCTCTCGGCTTGATCTGGACCCCTTGAATCGTTTTCGCGCACCCATGCCCCGTGTCGATATGGTTGAACGCAGCGGCCCCATAATGGTGATGGTCGAATATCAAATCGCCCCCGAGGATACCGACCGCTTTGTTGATCTGATGCGGGCACGGCGGCGTATCAGGTTGCGTGACGGGGCCCGCCAATGGGCATTGCTGCGCGATATCGAAAGCCCGAATTCATGGACCGAAAGCTATCACGTCCCGACGTGGATCGATTATCTGCGCCATAATGAACGCCGCACCAAGGCGGATGCCGAAAACGCCGATCTGCTGCGTGCCTTGGCGCAAGGGCCGGATAAAAAGCCCCGCGTGCGCCGCCTGATTGAGCGCCAGACAATCCCCACCACAGGATCGGTCTTGCGTGCGCGTTCCACAGCGTGCGCGGCTAGTGTCTGAAATTGGGGTTGCGTCCTACCCGGGAATCCGCTAAGCAGCGCGTCGGACCGGTAGTCAGTGTTCGGAGCAGCTGATCTTAATCAGCGGGGGTCGGCGCTCTCGCAAACCCTCCGGTTCACCAATTCCCACTATTTTCAAAAAAGACAAAACAGTGCTTGCACCCCCGGTCGAAAAGCGTAAAAGCGCCCTCGGACCGGTAGCTCAGTGGTAGAGCAGCTGACTCTTAATCAGCGGGTCGAGGGTTCGAAACCCTCCCGGTTCACCAATCATCCACAATTCAGCCGCCGATGTTGCCACCGGCGGCCTGTGTGTCAGGCCAAAGCTGCGCGAATCGTATCCTGCACAGGCTCTGTCGGATGTCCGATCAGGCGGGACAGGTCTTTGCTATCGGAATACAACATGCCTTCGGCGGCATTTGCATCGCTATTGGCCAAAACGGCGGCAAAGGCGGCGGGCAGACCAACCTTGACCAATGCGGCACGGAAGGCTTCCTCGGACGCATCCACATAATCGACCGGCGTGCCCGAAACTTCGGACAACATGGCCGCATATTCCCCCAACGTGACCGACCCAGTCGCCTCATTCATAGGTGCCCCCTTCTGGACGGATTTTTGGCAAGCACCACGGCAGCGGCTTCGGCATAATCCTTGCGCGGCGCGGTGGAAAACCGCCCCTGCCCCGCCGCCCCGAAATGCTTGCCCATCTTTAGATCGGCCTGCACGGATGCCAGAAGGTTTTCCGAATACCAACCATTGCGCAAGAACGTATATGCCAGACCCGAGGACCGGATCATATCCTCTGTCGCCTTGTGCTCTTCGGCCAGAATCATGGGCGAATTCTGGGCATCAAGGATGGAGGTATAGGCGATGTAGGGGACGTGGGCGGCACGAGCCGCCTCTATGACGTTGCGGTGCTGGCCGACGCGCTGACCGATTGCGGACCCCGAAATCAGCAACACGCGCCCGATGCCGTGGAACGCCTCGACCAGCCCTTCGCGGTCGGTGTAATCGGCCATGCGCGCACCAATGCCCTGCGTGCGCAACACCTCGGCATCGTTTTCACGCCGCACCAGACCAAAAATCCTATCCTCGGGCACGCGCGTACGCAGATGCGAAATGACCAACTGCCAGATGCCCCGCTGGCACCAGTGACCAAGATCCCGTCGTTTTCCATTGGATGTCCTTTTCTATTCCCTGTGCCCTGATGTAAATGTGCCCACGCCCAAGGAAAAGATAGAGTGTGACTGGGCTTGTCCACATCGGACTGCTATCGTGGGAACAAAACAGATGAGGCCCCCGATGATCCGCTCCTTTCTGGCCCTTGGTGCCGCCGCTACGTTGGTTTCCGCTTGCACGGTCGATGGTGTGAACCCGTTCGAACAGCATAGCGACACCCGCGCCGCCGCCACCGCCATGTCTACGCCCGGAACATGTTTTGCATATGTCACCACCGAAGAAGACGGCACCTATACCCTGCTGACCGGGATCGGCAACGGCACCACTCCGGCACAAGGGGTTCCCAAACGCGGCCTTTCGGCGCAGGCGGTGGACATTGCCGTCGTGAAGGAAACCGAGATCATGAAGATCAATCCGGAATGCTTGGCCACCTACGTCAGCCCCCGCGAAATCCCCAAAGCCTGAGTCTTAACGGCCACAGTTTCGGCAACAGCATATAGTAGCTGCAAATTTGCGCTACCCAACCCATCGCCCCGCCCCTATAGTCCTTGTGGATAAGTGTGGCGGGAACGAGGGAGATCATCAATGCGCTGCCCGTTTTGTGGCAATGTCGACACGCAGGTCAAAGACTCGCGTCCCGCAGAAGATCATGTTGCCATCCGGCGTCGGCGGTTCTGCCCCGCGTGTGGAGGCCGGTTCACAACATATGAACGGGTGCAACTGCGCGATCTGGTTGTGGTGAAGACATCCGGCAAACGCGAAGATTTCGACCGTGACAAACTGGAACGGTCCATCCGCATCGCCATGCAGAAACGCCCGATTGATCCCGAACGGATTGATCAGATGATTTCGGGCATCGTGCGGCGGCTGGAATCGCTGGGGGATTCGGACATTCCGTCACGCACGATCGGGGCGATCGTCATGGAAACACTGGCCCGCATCGACACCGTCTCCTATGTCCGCTTCGCCAGTGTTTACAAGAACTTCCAAGCTGCTGGCGACTTCGACAAGTTCGTATCGGAGTTGCGTCCGCCAGAGGCGGGCCAAGAAGAATGACCGAAGAAGACCGGCGGTACATGCGCCTCGCGCTGGCATTAGCCGCGCGTGGATTGGGGAATGTATGGCCGAACCCCGCCGTAGGATGCGTGATTGTGTCGGATGGCCGGATTGTCGGGCGCGGCTGGACCCAGCCCGGCGGGCGACCCCATGCCGAAAGGCGCGCCTTGGATCAGGCCGGGGCTGCCGCACGGGGCGCAACGGCCTATGTCACGTTGGAGCCCTGCGCCCATTATGGAAAAACGCCACCCTGTTCGCAGGCTCTGATCGAAAACGGCATCGCGCGTGTTGTTTCCGCACATGAGGACCCTGATCCGCGCGTGGCCGGACGTTGGAGACACGCCATGTTGCGCAATGCAGGCATCGCTGTGGACACCGGAGTACTGGAGGCCGAGGCCCGCGCCCAGCAATCCGGTTTCCTGTCACGGCTGGAACGCGGACGCCCGTGGGTTGCACTGAAACTTGCCACCAGCTTTGATGGCCGCATCGCCTTGGCAAACGGGCAAAGCCAGTGGATTACATCGGCACCTGCGCGGGCGGCGGTTCATGCCCTACGCGCGCAATATGACGCCGTTCTGGTGGGCGGCGGTACGGCGCGGGCGGATGATCCGTTGCTGACCGTGCGCACGTTTACGCCGTTACGCCAACCCGTGCGGGTTATCGCGTCAACGCGCCTGAACCTGCCACGGGCCAAGCTGGCAGCATCGGTGGACACGGCACCGCTGTGGCTGGCCCACGGCCCCCACGCATCGGAAGAGGCGCGGACATGGTGGCAAAATGCCGGTGCGGATCTTTTGCCCGTTCCCACCACCGCATCCGGTCTGGACCCCGTGGCATTGATGGGCACATTGGCGGGAAACGGCCTGACGCGGGTGTTTTGCGAAGGCGGCGGACTTTTTGCGGCGTCCCTATTGCAGGCGGGATTGGTGGATGAGCTGATCGGGTTCACAGCGGGGATTGTTCTGGGCGGCGATGCGCGCGCTGCACTAGGCCCCATCGGGTTGAGCCAGTTGGACAATGCCCCCCGGTTCCGGCTGCAAGAAACGCAGGTGATCGGCACGGACATCCTGCACCGCTGGCGGATCGGTTAACGCCACAAATAGGCGTAATTCGCCAATGCCCCCTGCGCCTTTGCCAATATCCGGTTCATCGGACCGGGGCGCGGAATTGTGCCGTTTGCCAACCGCTCGACAACCACCTCAGGCGGGCAAGGCAGGCCGGACACAGGATCATAATACCGCGGATAGGCAATCAGGGCCGCATAGGCCAACCCCATCAGGTCCGGTCGTGCCTGCCGCCGCGCGGGAACCTGCCCCAGATCCCGTGTCAGCCCCCAGCCCGCGTAAAACGGTGCGCCGGTTACCGTTACGGGAACGCCCCGCAAAAGCGCCTCGAACCCCAGAAGCGAGGTCATTGTCCACACCTCGTCCACCTGAGCCAAAAGGGCCATCGCGTCGGCACGGTCTACGATGCAATCGGCGTGCAGCAATGCCTGATGCGCATCCACCCGCCCCGGGCGCAAACCGGCCTCGACATCGGGATGAGGTTTGAACAGAACAACCGCATCGGGATTAATCCGCCCGCCCCGTGCCAGCAGGCCCAGGTGTCTGCAAATCTGCCTGCCCCCAAAGCGGTAGAGCGTCCATCCCTCGACCTGCCCCGGCACCAGAATGCGGTGCCCTTTGGGTAAATCGGGTATGTTCCCGCCAAGATTGTATTTTGAAACGCCCGCCGCCGTAATGGCGCGCACCAACCGATCAATACGATCCGCCCCTCCGGCGGGCAGCGGGGTTTGAATGGCATGCTCCATATCCGATGGACGCTGCGGATCATAATAGATGCCCTGCCGGTCCGAGACCAACGACAAAGGTGGGATCAAATCCGCCCCCAACCCACGCGAGCGTAAAAAACCGTCCTCAACCCGCCGACCGGATGCAGGAAAACCCACAGGCTCTTTACCCGCCCAGACAAGCAGCGGTCGGTCCGTGCGCGTAACGGCCTTGGTCGGAGGATCAACGAACTGCACCCCCGCCACGCGACCAAAGAACTGCTGCAACGGGCGGCGTTTCCACAACCGCATCCCGGTGGCGACATAGCCAAAGCGATCTTCGCGCCACGCCCGAACCTCGGCCTCCAACTGATCCATCGCCTCTTCAAATGAGCAAAGACGCTGGCGGCAGGGATCGAACCATGTGGGCGCCAGAATATGGCTGGCCGCGAAAACCTGCTCCACGGTCAGGGAACGGTGGCGGCGGTCAATGGGTTGGACATCATCGCTGAGGCCCCAGCCCGCATAGAAGGGCTGGCCGAAAACCTTGGGCCTGTGACCGGCCAAGATCGCCTCGTACCCCATCAACGAACTGACCGTATAAACCGCCTGCGCCCCCGCCAAGAGCGTCCACGGCGAAACCGGATCTGCAAAAATCTGCGTCCGCGCATCCGTATCCTTGGGGCCGAAATGCCCCGCCCGCAGGCCATCGCGCGTTTCGGGATGTGTGCGGATCAAAATACGCGCGGCAGGAAAATCTTCGCGCGCCTGCGCCAACATTTGTTGGAATGTCTGCGCTGTCGCCCCACCCCAACGAATGGAGGCATCACCAGCCGTTTGATCCACAACCAGAACATACCCCCCTTGCGGAGCGGGTAGATCTGGATCAAAATCATTGTATTTCGATAGGTTGGCGGCCTTCAGCCGCGCAATACCATCCCCCGCGCGGCGTAATAGGGCCGGATCATCCAACGGATGCCGGGCCAAAAGATGTTCCAATAGCGACGGTTGGCTGGCATCGAAATGCACCCCGTAGGGATCAATCAACAGCCCCAGCGGACCACCACCCCCGCCCCGCCCCGGCCGAACCGAACGCAAGAACGCATCCTCTATCCGGACCAGCGGGGCACCGTAAACGCGCGAAGACCAACAGAATACCTGATGAGGGGAAATGTTGAGGGCATTGACCGAACAACGGCTAGCAAAAAAGTCCGCTCGACGCAGTTAGAAAAAAGGAGAATAAAAGGCGCAAGCGGAGGAGTTTCTGTCTCTTGGCTCGTGGTTATGTTGAACGCAACGCATCGTACCGGTGGTGTTAATTACTTAGTTTTTTTTTTTAAATAAATAAAAAAAAAAAAAAGTTTTCTTTGCATTTTTTATATAACAATTAAAACTACTTTAATATTAATTTAACCAGTGGAAATAAAATTCTTAAAATTGTGTAATTTTCTTTTTATAGTATTTAAAGAAACAAAATAAAAATTGAAATAGTTTTGTCGACACGGCGCGAAACAGGATAATAGTGTTAATAGCCACAGTATAAAAGAAATAATTGACGGCTTTAACAGTGGTCAATTAAAAGATTTTGTACTCGTGCTCGTTCGAACGTATAAACGTGTTGACACCACAAGCAAAAGACGTGGCGCGGCTTGGGTGTCTCTTTTTCTCCGATACGTGGCAAAGCTTGAATTGATTGGTGTTTCCTGATAATCATCGCTGGACATTGTAAGCAGCCCTAATGTACCAGAGAGGGTAAGACTTATATATGTATAAAATACAGTGCAGATTTTCGCGTAAGTAACTTCAATGTATAAGCGCGAATTTATAAGCTATTTTATTTAAATCGGACGAATTGCTTAAAAATTAACAAATTCCAAATTGTATAATTGAATATCTACAAATTTTATTCATTTAACTGGAAATGAGAAAAGTAACAACAAGGCAATCATAATCGTAAAGGCTTCAAGTTAAGCGCATAGGAGCATAAACTTTCTAAACACAACAAGCTTATGAATTATTAGATCTTATGAAATAGAATCTATGAAAAAAAAATGTATCTTTGTAAAAATTGAAATTAAACAACTGAAAACAAGATATTTGTGAAAAAAAATGTATTCTGTTATATGCAAACATAATCTTAATTAATTATAAAGTGTAACATTAAAAATTTAATTACTTAATCCACATTTAAGGAATGTAAAAATATTACATAAAATTCTAAGTGAAATACCAAAGTAATCTTCACACGACTACGCTTAATGGAAATTCTTCTTCCCTTATATTTTTATTTAAAAACATTTTATGAGTTTTTTTTATAAATTTTGTTGTATTTAAGTGAACACAAAAATGCATTTATAAAACGTTAAACTTAAAATATGATTAATTAATATTATTTTTTTTTTAAAATTTGAAATCAGTTAAATATTATTTGCTTATTATTATCTACGAGTAATTGTAAAGATATTATTTGATAAATTGTTTTTTTATTTAAAATACATTTATGGTTATACATATATTACAAATTGTTCAATAAAATTGAAATCAGTTAAATATTATTTGCTTATTATTATCTACGAGTAATTGTAAAGATATTATTTGATAAATTGTTTTTTTTATTTAAAATACATTTATTGTTATACATATATTACAAATTGTTCAATAAAGAAAAAAAAACTTGAATTCTAAAATAATTACTTTGTTGTACGGCATCTTACTTCAACGGTAGAAACGACAGTAGTTGAACGCTGGGTCCCCGCGAATAGAAATTTTCTTGTAAGACCTTGGACTAGGCTGAGAACTACCCCGGCTAGGAAAAATTAGGTTCATTACACACTTATGCAATTGCTTATTAAAAGCATGAAATGCAGGCACATTAACACTCTGTCCATCTGCAGTCTGTTGTAATAAAATTTGTTTGAAGAATGCTCGCTGATCCTCCAGCATTTTATTTGTAGACTCTTGTTGCTGTTTAAGCAATTCCTTTAAAGCAGCTACGTCCATTTTAGGTAATTTTTTTTTTATAATCCTCGTTGCCACTGTTTTTTTTGAGTTATCTTAATCAACTAACTTTATTTTTTTACATTATACAATATTTACTTAAACTACTTACAGGCTAGAGTTTCCAACTTTATATATTTAAAATAATTATTAATATTGTTGAATATGACAGGTAGGAATACATTTTTTTTTGGGAAGATATTTTTATTATATAGAAATATAATAAATAAATATAATACAAGAAAATATTGCTAAATAAATGTATTTCTATTAGGAATATATTGTTTCCGGGTGTTCATGTTAATTGACGTGAATTATTTCGTTGTTTTTTTTTTTTTGTGAGGGCTTAATGTGTAAAAGTTTCATCAGTTGTCTATTAATTTGTTGTGGTTGCTATTTTTGTGAAATATTTAGTTTTTACTGTGAACGTCAACAATGAACAGTGTCGGTATGTAAATGCAAACATTTAGAATTTTTTTTTCATACTCGTCAATACATTGTATCAGTTAACGTTAAATACAGTTTGTTTTGTTTTTATTTTTATTGTAAATGTGAGTGACTGAGTTTTGCAACTCTAAGTTTATAGCGAAGCGAAAAGTATTCACAAAG